CGAAGAAAACATTGTTTAATTTATATTAATATGTATCACTTAAAAAAATTTTAATGAAGATATTTATCTTAATTATAAAAATATACTAGCATGTTTTTTAATTTTTGGAACCTAACCCTCCTTTTCGTATTAGTTCTTTGTTTCGTATAACACGGATTCGCATAACACAGCAATTTTTTGGAACGTAATTACCGCATTATACGAGGGTTACCTGTACATTATGTGAGGCACCACTGTATTTGGAACTAGCAGTTAGGCACGCCATTGCTCGGGCAAAAAGTAATGATGGTGAAGAATAAGATTATTACATTATAGCCAATCTTACCTGTTTTCACAGAATGCAAGAATTAGGTCCCCCGTTTCCAGACTAATTAGAGAATTTTTACATGGGTCTAAAAATATTTTCGATTGTTTGCAAAAACACAAAAAACCGCATCTGCGTCTGTAAATCTTGCACGTTGCTTTCTCTTAACACTTCAATTGTTACTTAATCATTTCCATTGTTAACACCCTTTCCCCACGGGGGAATTTTGAAAAATCCCTTTTTAGTGTACATTCTCAAGACGTACCCTATTAAAACATAATCAAAAACACAAAAAACCGCATCTAAAATAGTATATTAGAAGCCGAGTTGTTCATGGAAAGCCTTAATCCTGTCCCTCTCTTCCGCAGGAGAATTTTGAAAAATCCCTTCTTAGTGTACATTCTTATGACGTTTCCTAACTGTGTACCAAATTTCAACCTTCAACTCCTAACTGTTTGGGCTCTGCACTTCTTATTATTATTCGGAGTGGCTATTTCAAAGGGCAGTTTTGGCAACTAAAAATAATATTGTTGACGATATCAACTTTAATTAATTAATTAATTTAATATTCAAAAGAAAATTCCTAGTAATATTGAAAAGAATATTCAGAACTGGCAAGAGCTCTTTTTCTTTTAAGTTTGGGCATTGTATAAAATATAAATCAAATCAACTTTTTATTAACAAATACACTAAGAACACTTTACACAGTTTTCACACTTTATTTTTGATTTATATTCAGCCACTGTATGAGTTTGACTACTCACACTTCACTGTTTGTTTTTATTCACTCACTGCACTACTTTGGAATTTTCACTTCTTTTTCGGTTTTTCCCTTCATCACTGATAAGAAACTGACATTTGAACCCATGGCGGATCTTGCTTTATATACCCCCACTTTATATTGACCCACTGACTAAATGTATTAATGAGCAGGAAATGTACAAGACATTAGATAGAGCTGATGTTAACACGATTTATAAGATATATAACTACGTCAAACAACTAGTTAAATAATAATTATGACAAAATATTAATATAAATATATTGATTAATAAATGGTAAATACTAATATTGTTAAATAATTATTATATGAAATGTTAATATGCGTTTTATCAAAATAAAACGCCCTTGTAACAGGCAAAAGCCTTCTACGCCAATAAATAAAGATTACTTACTTACTTATATACCCCCACCAATGGGTAGTCCCACCCATACAAAAAGGCTTCAAATGGTCCACAATGTTCCAGAACATTCCACAACATTCAAGAGTGTTCTGGAATGTTCCACAATGATTTGGGATGTTCCTGAACATCCTGGAACATTTTGGAATGTTGTGGAATGCTCTTGAATGTTCTGGATTGTTCTAAAAATTTCTAGAGGGCAAAACTTCTAGCTCTTATATCTTCAGCAGTATGCCCTTCAAGTAAAAACGGGAATATTTTTCATGGATGGGGGATAGATGGCTACCACACCATATAACTCCCTTGATCGTACTGGGACTCGTTTTTGAGTTTTAGCGGCATGCACATTGTACACTTACCTTTATTACATAAATTGATTTATATTGATTTCAATTAAACTGGTGGATAAAACTAATTATGGTTGTGTTTTAATTTAACATTTTAAGTTTTAAGATGATTACATCTTAAAATATTAACATTTTTCTCAAATTACTAATCAAATTTTATCATATTGTGATACTCTAATATGTGTTTGCCATTTGTGAAAATGTTAATATTTCTCACCTGCATTATATTGAAATTGATATTCTAGATACAGTTTCAATATAATAAAATATAAGATTTAAAATAAATATTAACTATTGAAATTTTTTAGTTTTAACAATGAGTACAAAATGATGCTTTATTATCTCATAAAATTTAAATTTTGTAAAATTTATTGTTTAAAAGTTCATATTGGTACCTTAGAAATTTATGAAATGTTTAACAGTAAAAATAATTTCATAAATGTCAAAATTTAAATTTTGAAACAAATTTCGTTGATTATCATACTGAAATTTTCTTTAAAAAAGTAAGATTAAATTTGAGTCAAGAAGTAAAAAGTATTTTACTTTTTTTATGTAAAAATACATTTTTGAAGATTTTGATTTAGCATGCAAAAAATTATATAAATTTCTTATTTCTGATGGTAGAAAACTAACAATGAACCACCGAAGAAAGTTCGACCAAAGGTAATAAATTGTGGAAAATGTGAAGCATGTTTAAGAGAAAGTGATTGTGGAGAATGTAGTCATTGTCGAGTAAGTAAAAAATTATACAAAAGTTTTGAAATATTTACATATTTTTTATATT